TAAAGATGTGGTATATAAAAAAAAAAAAAAAAAAAAATAAGTATTTTTAAAAAAAAAAAACAATAAAAAAATAGTAGAAATGAAAATAAAAAAAAATATTATTTTTATTCAATATTAAAAAATAAATTTTTTTCTGAAAAGTTTAATATGCTAAACTATGAGTATTTTAAAATGATTTTTCCAAATTTTTTTTTTTATTTTTTTTTTTTCTTGAATACAAAATAAAGAGTAAAAATATTATATACTACTGCGTATTTTCAATTGTCATTAAAAATAAAAAATGTAATTACAAATACTCAATTTTAATTTCTAAAAATAACTGCTTAACAAAACCATAAATTTTAAATAAAACATAAAATATATTTTAAATATTATTATAAATGAAGTTTTTGATTTTCCTAAAAACTTCCAATAATTTTAATTTATTCCTCTTCCTATTCTCTCTACTTATGTTTACTTTTCCCTTTTTGGTAGTTCTATTAGGTACATAAATAAATTATAAAAAAATAATACAAAAATAAAAAATGATATATATGTTCCAATGCAAATATTATATATTTAACAGATCATTAAAAAATTCTACAACTAAATCACTTTGTCGATTGCATATAATTACATAACTTTTTTTATTAAATTTACTTTCTATCTATATAAATTTATATATATATATATATACACTTATATAAAATTTAATTTAAATAAAAATAAAATGGAAAAAAAAAAATATACATAATACATATATATATTTATTTATATATATATATATATAATAATAATAATAATAATAATAATAATAATAATAATAAAGATAATAAAGATAATAACAAATAGATTTATAGTTTTTATTAAAATATCTTTAAAATACTTGATGTGTGTAATATATATTTAATATAAAAAAAAAAAAAAAAAGAAAAAGAAAAAGAAAGAAATAAAATTATAAAAAAGTAAAAAAGGTGAAAAAAAAAAAAAAAAGGAAAAAAATAAAAGAAAAAGAAAAATTAACTAAAAAAACAAGAAAATGAAATAAAAGTAAGCTCTTTAAAGCATACTCATCAATGAGCTATTTACTTATTTTTTTTAAAAATTAAAAAAAAAAAAAATTATCATAAATAAAATACTGCAAGAAGCGAGAAATTAGTTTTTAAAAACGTCGTCTTATTAGAGTGAGATTATAAAAAAATAAATTTATAAAAACATAAAATTTAAAAAAAATATATGCATAAATATTCATTGAAAGTTCAGATAAAATTAGACAATTAACATATTATGTTAAAAATGTCGGTAAAAAGATAATGGACAAAAAATATTAAAAAAAAATAAAAATAAAACATAAAATTGTACGAAATTTTACTACAAAAATATATTTGTGTTTAAAGGAATGTGATTATTTGCTTTTATATATATTTATATTATATATATATATAATTAACGTGAAATAACACATTTAACGATAGAAGCAGTTTTACAAAATTATTTTGTACAAAAAAAAAAAAAGTATGGTTATAATTTTCATTTAAAGATTCTGGAATCTAAGCTTTAAAAAAAATTGTTTTTAAATTAAAAATATGAAATTTTTAAAAAAAAGAATAAAAAAAAAAAAAAAAAAAAATGGTAAAATGTTAAAAATAAAAAATATATACATGCAGACTTTTAGGTGCGAGTGTGAAGAATAATAAATGCTTCATTAATATAGATTTAAAATTTTCTCTGTGAGCTTTTCAAAGAACAAAAAAGATATTTTTTTAAACTTTTTTTCTTAAATTTTTGTTGTATAATTTAACATACTATACTAAATTTAAAAAGCTAAAAAAAAAAAAAAAAATGGTTGCTAATTTTTTTTTTTAAATGTTAGTATATATATTTTATACAGTGCTCTTTTGCGATATCTTTTTTTTTTTTTTTTTTTTTTTTTTTTTTTTTTTTNTTTTATTAAAAACACTTGCACCTAAAAGTTTGCATGTATATATTTTTTATTTTTAACATTTTACCATTTTTTTTTTTTTTTTTTTTTTTTTTTTTCTTCTTTTTTATTATCAGAAAAACAAATTATAGTAACATTTTAGCTCAGTAGTTTAAAAAAGTTTTATTTTTAAATGTAAATTTTTTTTTTTTTTTTTGAGTTGTACTATCTTTTTTTAAATGTAAATTTTTTTTTTATTGGCTAATGAAGCAAATTACTTAAATTATTCATAAAAAAGCGAAGTGGATTTAATAAAATAGAATAAAAGATACATTTATGAATTTTTTTTTTAAATTTAAATTTTTATTGAAAGTACTTTTACTTAAAATTATTGCATATCTTTAAACATCCTAGATATAATATAAATATGAATACAGTTAACAAAATTTAAAATCAAGAGAAAAATAAAATAAAATTTCAAACAATATTAAAATAATTTAATGTAAATTTTATATAATTACCGTCTTTTAATAAAATTCTCTTATTTTATTAAAAAAAAAAAGGAAGAATATAATAATAAATTAGGAAACAAATAGTTATTAAAAGTGATTTATTTAAAATATATGTATGTTCATCAATTTATAGTAAAAGTAGTATATTAAAGAGAAAACTTAAGAGAACTTGCCGTTTTTTTTTTTTTTTTTTTATTATTATATCACACAAATGGGCAATTTTAAATAAAAAAGAAAAAAATGAGTTAAATAAAAACATTCCTTAATATTTCCTCATATATTTTTATAAGTTCAATTCGTATTCTTTAATTAAGAAGAAAAGGAAAATATGTTAAACTGAAATATATGAATTATTATTTTTTTGTTAGAATATATAATGGATAATAATAAAATTAAATATTAGTTCCTTTTTATAAATTATATATGATATAGGTTATTTAAATTGATTTAAATGAAAGAAACATTTATAGAATAAAATAAATGAAGTTTTTATTTTTAGTTTAAGCAAAGAAAAAAAAAAAAAAAAAAAAAAAAAAAATCAAATAGATGAAATTTTACTGTTATATTGAATTCATATGCAAAATTATGTTGCATATGTTTTTCCTATTTCATTTAATTCTTCAACAAAATTAACTGGTCTTATAAAATCAGTTGTACCATAAATAATTTTTTTATTTAATTTTTCTTCTAAATCTTTTAAAGCTGAAACTTCTATATAGTTTCCTCCACCAATCATAAAGATAATGCAATCCTTTATATTTTCTTGTTTGATATATAATTTATCCATATTATTACTTGGTGGAGTTTTTGGATCAATGTAAATAAACTGATCATTTAATGATGAAGGTTTGTTTTCTAATAATGTTTCTACTAATTTTGTTATTTTTATATCTCTTCTTTTAGGTAATAAATTTTTTGCTCCTTGTAATATATTAAAACCTTTGTCAATAAATATATTGCTGTAGGTATTTAAATGTTGTTTAAAGGTAGTGCTATTTGTTTGATTTAATTGGGAATTAATATTTATATTTATACTCATAGATTTATACTTTTCTAACTGTTTAATAAAATTGATTGAAGAAGTATCTACATCTAAATTTTTTAATTGTTGAATAAAAGCATCAACTGTTTGTGTATTTAAATTTCTTTTAGCTAAATATAGGCATAAAAAAGCTCTGTATTTGTCATAATTATTTCCTTTTGATGAATTTAATATATTATTCATATATTGTATGCATAATTTATCATTTGAACATTCAAAATCAAATTCATTTTCATAATATTTATCTAATTCTCGTTCTTTAATTTCTTTTATTAACTCAGTCAATATATTTGTGTGCATATCCAATAATCTTTTATGTTCAGTCATTTCAGGTAATATATTCATGGCAGACATTAGTCCTCCTGTTAAGTTATCATTATTTGTTTTATCATTTTTATTTAAATTTTTCATTTTCTCGTTATAATTATTTAAACATTCACTAATATTATTAGCAACTTCTGGAAAAGGTTTATTACAATTATTTAAAAAAAACGTATCATTACTATCAATATCATAACTTTTTACTATTTTATTTTTATCATTTGCATTATTTTGATGTATATTAATTTTATTTAGCTTTATATCAAATACATCATGGATTAAAGCTTGATATGTCCAAGAATGTTGTATCATTATACTTAGATCAACATCTCTATCAGCTAAAATTAGTAAGGGCCTTTGAATAGTTTTTGAGTTGAAAACATAATTATTTGAGGATCTTAAATTAAGCAATTCATAAATTTTTTTATGCAATTTTTGAGCTATAGTTTTTGAAGGATATGACGAATTTGAAGAAACTCTTATAATTGGAACTACACCTAATGTTACTAAAAAAGAAATGAGTCCTTCTGTTATTTTATCCATGATATTCTGTATTAATTCATCATTTGATTCATGCAAAATTTTGAAACAAAATGGTATATTTAAAGAAAAAGTTGTACTTGACAAACTAATAAATTTTAAATATCTGTCTGTTATTCTTGAAACATAAGACACTATATTATTTTTAACACATTCACTAGCAAAATATTCTAAATTTTCATCACTAACATATGAAAGAAAGTTAATATAATAACTACCATACATATTATTTATCATATCTTTAATTATTTTATCTATGTTTTCCTTATTATTATCTATTAAATATACAGCATTAACTTCAGGGATGGTATTTCTTTCCTTATGTATATTTAAATTTAATGTTACACCATGATGTCTTAAATTTCCTACTTTTAAAAGTGGAGCTAGAATATTTTGTCCTTCATAATCATAAATTAATATTTTCCATATTTTATCATGCGAATAATATAATATATTCCCATTATTACTTAAATTTTCATTATAATCATTTAAATTTAACATACTAATCGCGCTGTTTTTTTGTTGCTCTTGAATATTTAACGACATTTTGTCTTTCTAGTTTATTATTTTAAAATATCATTATATATATAAATATATATATTTTATTTAATAATTAATTTAAAAACTTCTAAACTTTATGCACGTTCATAATATATTCAGAATATATTTTAATATACTTTTGAATTTATATATTTTCAATGACTTTAAAAAATTTTTGTTTAATTTAAACAAAATATTCAGTCCTACTTTATTATGCAATTTTTTTTTTTTTTTTTTTTTTTTTTTTGTTTTTTTGCTTATCTACCTTATTTTTAAAATTTTTTTTTTTTTTTAGTTTTTCTATTTGTTTTATTTTATTTTTTTGTTTTTGTTTTTTCTTTTTGCAGTGGTGTTTAATTAAAAATTATACAAAAGTTTTTAAATATAGTTACATTATTTTTTATGTTTATTTTGTGTACAGAGTTTAAGAAATTTCTAAGAGCAAAAAAAAAAAATACTAAAAAAAGAAAAAATTGTTCAAAAATACAACATATAATTCTTTAAATTTTAAAGTATTGTAATATAATTAGAATATTTTTTTTTTTTTTTTTTTACAATATATAAATATAAAATGTCAAAATCATTAAAGTTCTGTATTTCTCACATTTTTCTTATAATCTTTTAAAGTTATTTCATAATATATTTTTCCCATATCTCCAATTAGTATACCTATACGCCTATATAAAATAAAATAATACATAATAATTTATTATTTAAAAATATGAAAATTCATTAAAAAAAGCATGTACTCAACCTCAATTCACCAACACACATTCCTCTTAAACCCTTGTTTAAAGGATCAATATTATGCTCTCCAACCTTCAAAAATTAAATAAAATAAACGAAATTCACAAAATAAATAAAATGAAATATATATTTAAAAAATTTAAGTTCATAAAAAAAAAAAAAAATAAATAAATAAATAAATAAATTAAAATAAACGTTACAAAAAAAAAAAAAAAAAAAAATTTAATAAATAAAATAAAATAAATTAATAAAAAAAATATTTGTATAAGTATATATATTAAATTACAATAAATTTTTGGTTAGCATAGCCAAATTGATAATCCTAAAAAAATTTGAGATAAATTAAAAATTTATATAAGAACAGTAAAAGGTAAAATAAAAAAAAACATATATATATATATATATAAAACCAACCGATAATATTTGAGGCATAATACTTACTCCAGGAGCTGTGTATGTTAATTTTTGTCATACAAAAAAGAAAAAAAAGTAAAAAGAAAATTAAAAATTTTTATTTTTAAAGTTTATGAGTATATCAAAAAAATATTAATATGAAAATTATATATTTCACGTAAAATAAATATAGCCAATATATAAGTGTTCTTACAAAATGTCCTCATTTCTATTTCTGCTTCATCGTTAGTTTCTAAACCGCATTTTATAGATGATTCTTTCAAGACACGAACGCTAAATTTGTTTATTATTTCATAATTACTTAATGGAATATATGTTTCTTTATCAGATTTTACAATTATTAAAAGACAAAAAACTAAAAATAAAATAAATGAAACCTTTATCATTTTATTTAAAATTTATTTTGTCACTTTCAATGAAATAGGATATATTTTAACTTCATGTAAATTGAAACTATTTATTTTTATAATAAAAGATATATTAAGCACATTAAATGTATCTGTATATATATTTAACAGTGTTAATAGATTTATGAATTAATGAGGATTAATAAATAAACATTAAATATTTTTTAATAATCTATATTTTTAAATCATTTTAGAGCATTTTTTTTTTTTTTTTTTCTTGGTTTAAGTACATTATTGAGCCACATATATATATATATATATATATATATATATATATATATATATATATATATATATATATATATATATACTTTAAATATAAATATATTAATCATTTTATGAATGAAATGTATAATTAACATGTGTGAACAAAATTTAGAAGTACAATCAAAGATAAATTGTTAATTATATTTATAGCAGTTATTATAAATGAAAATTCATTTTTTATTTATATTTCTTACACTAATTAAATATGTTATTAATTCAAAAATAAAATCTAACATCGGGAATTCAGGGATATATTTAGGATATATAAGAAAAGACTCTAATTTAAAATTAATACCGAAAAAAAAATATTCTTACATTAATAATTTGTGTTTTTTCAAAAGAAGAAATAGTGAAATATATAAAATTTTTAAATGTAATTTATTTATTAGCACTAACTATTTAAAAAAATTTTTTATAAAAAATTCTTATGGAAAAATGAAAATAATAAAATTTAGAAATTTCAATAAATTATGGGCCAAAAAAAAAGGTGTAGGAAGCACAAAAAATGGTAGAGATAGTAACCCTAAAAACCTAGGTGTAAAAATATTGGGAAATAATTTTGCATATCCTGGTAATATTATAGTAAGGCAAAGAGGACGTACATTTAAACCTGGTTACGGAGTAAAACAAGGAAGAGATTTTACATTAGTTGCCACTAGGGCAGGGAAAGTAAATTTTTTTAAGGGAGTTGTAAGTATTATTGATGTTAATGAACCTAAAAAAATGACTTTCAAAGACATATATCAAGAAAATCCAACAATATTAAGTCTATCAAAAATGTGGACTTCAACTTAATATATATATAAGAATTATAGATATATTTAACATAATGAAAAAAGACCATAGAGTTTTAAATTTCAACAAATTGTAAGATATTCTTATAAAATCATTTTTTTTTAAATTTTATAACTTTTTTTTTATTTTTAATATATTTATTAGTATAATTTTCATTATTTTATTTATTTATTTATTTTTTTTTTTTTTTTTATAACGAATTATTATTTATTTTTATAAACGAACAATTTTTTTTTTTTATTAAGACACACAAAAAAAGTAAAAAAAAAATAAGGTAAAATTCAACAAATGAAATATAATTGAATTTAAAAAGTAATTTAATGTTTTTTTTTTTTTTTAAAAATATATTTAATACTCATAAAATTTATTTTTATTGATTTATCAAAAATTATGTTGATCTAGATTTGTTGTTGTATTGCAGTTAAATATAAAAAAAAAAAAAAAAAAAAAAAAAAAAAAAAAAAAATTGGCTTGATATAGTGTAGTATGCTATATACTAAAGAAGGAAGTTATATAAAATAATCTTCCATGAAAATACAAAACATAAAAAAATTTTATATAGCTAATATTTATTAAATTTTTTTTTTTTTTTTTTTTTTAAATTATAATTAAAAACATTTTGGTAGCAAAAAGAGTTTCAACACGCTTTAGGCTTAAATTAACCAACAGACATATTTTTTTAACATTTAATGTATTCATAGAAACAAAAAAAAATTATATAAGTATTTTTCTTCTTAATGTTTAGTGTGTGTATAAACTTAATATTTACATAAAAAAGAAATTTTCAAAAAAATAAAAGGTAATTTTGAGAATATAATATTAAACCATTAATGTTAATATGTGTAACTTTAAATACTTAATGAAAAGAAAAAAAAAAGAAAAATAATGTATACGAATCAACGATCCAATTATGAATATACCAATCCTATGGTATTAAATGCAAATCACAATAATTTAGGTCCTTATAAAAATGAAAGGATAACTGATAATTCTTCAATAATATCTCAAAGCAGACATCCTTTACAAATTAATTACAATAAATATACACAACAAAACATAAATACTAATCCATATAATAGTCAAAGTAAGTTAAATAGAAGTGAAAAATCGACAAACTACATAAATTATTATAGGAATGTTGATAATTTTCCAAAATCCCCTTTGAAATATAGTTTTTCTCAGTTTATACCTAAAAATAAAAATATAGGAAAACCAACAACGGCATTACTTGACAGTGTTAAACAAAAAGATTTAAAAAATAATCTAAATTATGAATTAAAAGTTAATTCGGTTAGAACACCTCTAAATTTTAATGCCAAAAATACTACACCATTAAAACCTTATTATAAAAACAATCCTGAATTTTTTTATCAAAACAAAAAGAATGATTTAAATGATAATATAATAACGTCAATAGAAAAAGAGAGAAGTAAAAATTATACAACTGCGCAAAAAGAAAGATACAATAATGTAGATACATTAATTATAAAAGAACAAAAATTTCAAAACGTTCCATTAAATAAAAAAAATGATGTGAAAAAAGAGAATGAAAATTTAGGAGACTCCAAAAAATATAAGGAAAATGAAAATATATACGCAAAAAAAATTCAAGAAAATGTAACTAGCGAAATGAATAAAATTCGCGAAAATGAAAAAAAAGAAAAAACAGAAGAAAAAAAGGTAAATAAAATTATGGAGTTAAAAAATAAAAATGAAAGTGTTACAAATGAAAAGACTGGTTATGCAAAAGAGAAAGATATAATAAAAAAAATAAATAAAAAAGAAGAAAATTTAGACAGTTCCTTATATAATCATAATAATAAAAAAAATAAAAAAATTAAGTTTAAAAACGAAACATTAATATATATTAATAATAAGAGTTTATTACCATGTGTTATTTCATTAGATTTCAATGATGATTCAATAAATTTAAACAAAGGATTAAAAACCTTTGAAAACATGATTATTATTGACAAAAATAATATATTAAGAAAATGGAATGGATTTGAGTGGGAAAAAATAGAAAACAATTTTAATTTTTTCATTAAAGCAAGATATGATAATCAAGGTAATATTTGGTGCATAAATAATTCCTTTGAAGTTTTAAAATTAATAAAGAACAAATTTAAAAATTTTGGTAATTTAGCAAATGAAGAAATTATTGATATTGGTTTTGATAAAAAAAATACTTTATGGTGTATAAATCGTAAGGGGGAACTATTAAAATGGAGTAGAACAAAATGGAACAAAATAAAATATAAAGGTTTTCATAAATTGACATGTGTATCATTTGATAATAAAGGTGATTTATGGGGTATTAATTCGAAAAGAGCGTTAGCTGTTTGGAATAAAAAAGATAAGTGCTGGAACGAAAAATTAATTAAGGATAATTTAAAAATATCATGCATAGACTTTGATACTAATGATAAAATTTGGGTAATTTCAAATGCAGGAGCATTACTATCGTATTCTTGTGGAAATTGGATGAACTTTGGACTTATATGTTTAGAGGAATTAATTTCTATAAGTTTTAAAAAGCAATAGATTATTATTAATAACATTAAAAATAAAAAGAAAATACATTCATACTATAAGTACAAAATATTAATAACAGATAGATGAATAACAATAAAAATATTTATTTGATAAATTTCATATTCCTTGATATTATCATTTTTATTATTTTTCTTATTCTATATTGATAATATTGTATATATTACTAATTAATTTCATTTCAAAAATTATAATTTTTCTAGTATCCCATTTATAATTTATTTATAATTATGAAGGTCTCTATAAATTATTTGTTTATAAATTACATTTGGATGAAAAAAAAAAAAAAAAAAAGAATAATGAAAATAATAAGACTACGATGCCTTTTAAACTTATCTATTTTTATTTAATTTTTTTCTTTTTTTATGTACTATGTTGTTAAAATATATACACAAATTAAATATTCTTTTTAATATTTACTTTTATTTTATATTTTTTTCTTTTTTTCTCTTTTATGAAATACTAACTAATTTTGTATTATCAATTAATTTTTAAATAAAAAAATTTTTACTTTATTTTATTTAATTATTATAAATTTTCCTATGTAATTATACCTTTTTTTTTTCTTAACTTTTTTTTTTTTCGTTATTGTTTATTTTATAAGGTACATTATATATTTTTTATGATTTCATTTGTTATATATCCTTTTAAAGTTTTACATTTAAAATTTAACAAGTCAGAATTTTATTTCTTCGTATTCATATACTTTAATTATTAATATAAAATTATGTTAATTTTAAAATATAAAAAAAAGTAAATAAATGTAATTTGCTTATTTAATAAAGCTCGCGTATAAGTAAAAAAAAAAAAAAAAATTCAATGAAATTAGAAAACCATATATTATTTTATTTTTATGTTATAAAATAAAATAAAATATTTCTGAAAGTGGCATAAACAGAACAAATCTCTAAGTATATGGCAACAAAATTTACTTATCATTTTTAATTTGTAATTAAAAAACAAAAGTGAAAAAAAAAAAAAAAAATTTTGTATATGTTATGAAGAAATAAAAAAAAAAAAAAAAAAAAAATGCAAATAAATTAATTCATTGATAACTTTTTTTGAATAAGCTAAATGTATGCACAGGTAGAAATAAGTGAAAAAACAAATAAAAAGTCAAGTGTATTACCGAAATTAATATCAAAATAACTTAGAGTTTTAATCTTCAATTTAAAAAAAATTTATAAAATAATTTGAAGGTAATCACAAATAAAGATATGCATTGATAAATGTGAACTATATATATGTATTAACAAATATTTTAAAATATAAAAAATAAAAGTTAAAAAGAAAAGTAAATAGTACAAAAATTTTAGTAAACCCTTTTAACAGGAGGAATATATTCCATTTCATTATCTAAAGGTTTTGTAATAACATTTCTATAAGTTGTAAAAAACTTTGCATTTTCAATATTTCTTTCTGTCATCCAAGTTAAAGAATGTTTTAAAAAATTCTGGTCATCTCTTTCAGGAAAGTCATCACGTGCATGAGCTCCTCTAGATTCTTTTCTGTGTACTGCAGCTAATATAGTTTGGGTAGCCTGTGTTAATAAATTTTCAAGTTCAAGAGTTTCTAGTAAGTCTGTATTCCATGTTAAACCTTTATCTTTGACATATATATCTTTAAAATTCGAACATATATCAAGTATCTGTTTATACCCTTCTTCTAATAATGGACCAATACGAAAAACAGCAGCATGTTTTTGCATACAAATTTGCATTTTTTTTCTCAAGTCGGCTGTATGAATACTTCCTTTATTAAATCTTATTTCATCTAATCTCTGTATAGTTTCTTCACCTATATTTGTGTTGGTATTTATTTTGGGGATATTGGGGCTATCAATCTCCATTATTGTTAATGCGGCTCTTTTACCAAATACTACAATATCTAATAATGAATTTGCACCTAATCGATTTGCTCCATGAACAGATGCTGAAGCAGCTTCTCCAGCCGCATAAAGTCCTTTAACAATAATATCATCATTTGAAATATTTTTAAATTTATTAAGATTTACATTTTGTGTTAACACCTGAGTTTTATAATTTGTAGGTATTCCTCCCATGTTATAATGAACAGTTGGTAAAACAGGTATATACTGCTTAGTAACATCAACTCCTGCAAATATTTTAGCCGTTTCCATTATACCAGGAAGTCTTTCTTTTAATGTTTCATATGGTAAATGTGTTAAGTCAAGATATATATGGTCACCATTAGGACCACATCCCCTATGTTCATTTATCTCTATAGTCATGGCTCTACTAACAACATCTCGACTAGCTAAATCTTTAGCTTTAGGTGCATATCTCATCATAAAAGCTTCTCCTTCCTTATTTCTTAAAATTCCTCCTTCTCCTCTGCAACCTTCTGTTATTAAACATCCAGCAGGAAATATACCAGTAGGATGAAATTGTACAAACTCCAAATCTTGAAGAGGTAATTTGCTTCTTGCAACTATTGCATTTCCATCTCCAGTGCATGCATGAGCAGATGTACAAGAGAGATATGCTCTACCATAACCACCAGTAGCAATAACTGTATGAGGAGTAAAGAATCTATGAATTTTACCATCTGCTATGTTAATACATATAACACCAATGCATTCTTTAGGATTTAACATTAATAAATCTAATACAAAATATTCAACAAAAAATACACAGTTGTGTGATAATGATTGTCCATATAAAGTATGTAACATAGCATGTCCTGTTCTATCAGCAGCAGCAGCACATCTATATGCCTGCCCTCCTTTTCCATATTTTAAGCTTTGCCCACCAAAAGCTCTTTGATATATTTTACCATCTTTAGTTCTTGAAAATGGAAGTCCAAACTCCTCTAATTCTAAAACAGATTCTGGTGCTTCTCTACACATATATTGTATAGCATTTTGATCTCCAAGCCAATCTGATCCTTTAATAGTATCATAAGCATGCCACCTCCAATCATCTTCTGTCATATTACCCAAAGCAGCATTTATACCTCCTTGTGCTGCTACAGTATGTGATCTAGTTGGAAATAATTTACTTATACATGCTACCTTATATTTATTTTTAGATAATTCTAAAGCTGATCGTAATCCTGCTCCTCCTGCACCAACTATGACAGCATCATAATGATGGTCAATCACATCATATGCTTTAGTTTTTAAACTTGAAAATCTACAATAATTCAAATTTAAAAATCTAATATATTTTTTACTATACTTAATCATTCTTTATTCTTTATTACAATTTTTTTTTTTTAATATTTAATTATAAGAAAAAATAAATTTAATATTAAATAAAAATAAATGAAAGAAAAAGAAAAAAAAATAATATAATAATATTAAATAAATGTATGAAGCATAAAAAAAAAAAAAATGTAACAAAAATACATGTAAAAAATGAAGAAAAGGAAAATAAACTATTAATATAAAATATATGACTTAAGGTAAACTATAAAAACAAAATTTAGTTTTAGTATTAAATTCATTCTGTTATATTTTAATGTAATTATAACACTAAGTTTTTCCTATTTTAATGCAAAACATATATTATTATTTCATAAATTCAAATTAGAATACAAATATGACTTTAAGAAATATTATTTAAAAATTAAAATACATGTATTTAAAAAATGAACATAATATAAAAAAAAATATATATATGTATGTATAATGTTGAATAAGTAAAACTATGTTTTATTTCACATTATGATTAATTTCCGCTTTAAATGAATATAGCATTATTCAATTTTGAAATAAAAATTTATTTATTATTTAAACACATTTTATAAGATGCTATTTTACATATTATTATTCAAATGAAATTTTAGTAAACCTACTTCGGTTGAAAGCAAAAAAAATTTTAGTTTATCTATGATGAATATTATATAATAAATTTTGAACTTTCATACATATATAAAAAAAAAAAAAAAAAAAAAAAAAAAAAAAAATAGAAGCACACCTTGAGAAAGGATTCCATTATTAAAAAAATATATAATTGTTCAAAAGAAAAAGAAAAAAAATCATATATATCATTTTATTCTTTTAAAAAATAAAACATAATAAAAATTTTTACTTTTATATGTATAACTGTATTATTTTACAATCATACATTAAAAAAAGAAAAAAAAAAAAAAAAAAAAAAATGTACCTTTACAATATAAATTGAAACATAGGAATACTATTAATTGACAGTTACTTTATGTTATTAAGTATTCATATGTTAAAGTTATATACAATGTAATTAATTGAATATAATGCATTTCATCTATATTTATATATATTATATATATTTTTTACTTCTGTTTTATCTTTTTTTTTTATATGGAATATTTTAGAATAACAATTCAAATACATTAAAATTTATTTTTAATCTATACATTAAAAAAAAAAAACATTTATTTAAAAATAATGGTTTATTTTTAATAAATTATTAAAATAAAAACAAAAATATAGTATTTAATAGGAAAATGAATAAAAAAAAGAAAAAAAAAGATAAAATTTTAACAACCTTTTTTATAAGACATTAAGTAATAAATGGTTGTCAATAGTAAAAATTAAGATGTACATAAACATTTATTTGTTAAAGAATTTTTATTTTTTAAAATTATAAAAATTATATATATATATATATATAAATTTAATTTTTATGGAATGTGTATCTCTTAATAATACTTTTTTTTTTCTTTTTTTTTTTTTATTTGGCTCTAGAATAAAAATATTAAAACATACATTTATGCTTGCACACATACACCTGTTAATTTACATTAAAATTTTTTATTTTTTCTGTTAATTTTTTTTTCTTTCTAAAAAAAAAAAAAATAAAGAGAAACATTATAATTTTTAATTAAAATATATATATATATACATATATATAAACGTATGCTATTTATAATTTTTCAGAACGTGATAAAAATAACTTAAATGGAAACCAATGTATGTTAGTTTTATTGATAAAATGATTTTATCATTATGTTTATTATAAATTATATTAGTAAAAAAAAAAAAAAAAAAAAATTAATATAATAACAGTAATAATATATAATTTCATTTTGTGTTCTTTATAGTATATTTTTTTTAGAGAACATAATTTATCATGAGAATTAAATATTAGAACGACAATGATAAAATTGTGCCTTTTTTATTTTTTTTTTTTCTCTTTAATTTTTCTTATTGAAATTAATATAAATAAAAATCATAGTAATAATAAAAAAATATGTAAAAAATGGTAAATCAAAAAAATGGAATTTTTTCAAAGTTAACAGGTGAAATAATTTATTATTAATATAAATAGAAATTTTATAATATATAATAGACATCAATTAAAAAGAAAAAAAAATATGAAAAATTATTTTTGAAAAATATATTATAATAAAAAATTAAAAAAAGAAACGCCATAATTATATGGTGAATATAGAGTTTTCAGAAAAATTATAAAGAAAATTTTATATTTTGTTATATATATATATATATATATATATATGTACATTTATATGTATACACATATGTATTTCTTTTCTTTTCTTTTCTCTTCTTAGTAATTTTCTACATCTTTTATATTATATTAAGTATCATTTATATGTATATATTTTTTTTTTTTTTAAACTTATGTGTGAATATTTTAAATACAAAAATTCTAGTGTGTTGTATTAGCTTAATTCAATATATATATTTGCTTGTTAATTTTTCATAGGTATGACATTTACGCTTTTTAAATTAAAACTTGAAAATATAAACCAAGAAATTGATGAAAATGCAAGTTCATTAGAGAAAGCAATTTTGTATGGTAACAGCAATTTAAAGTGTCGTAAGATAATATTTGTAAAAGATTTAATGAAATTTTTAATGGATATAAATTATGATAATTTTAAGAGATATATATATCCATTAATATTGAAATTAAGTAATGATAATTTAGAAATTAAAAACGAAATATGTAATAAAATTGGAGATTTATGTGCTTATTTATTACAAAATAATAACGATAATGATGGTTGCACAGACATAATAAAATTATTATTTCCGATAATGGAAAAATTTATAAAAAATAATGAAAATAAAAATATCTTAGGAAATGTAATGAAATCATTGTTAATTTTATCTACGCATATTAATTCTAAAAGTAGAAAAAAAGTGATTTTTCCATTTATACTATCACTTATATCAAATGATAAATATAAACATATAGGTTTTATTTTATTAGTTAAGATATGCTATATATTTGACAAAGATATTATTTTTTCTTTTTTAATTCCTTATATGGAATCTTTTCTTAGAAATAAAGATCTTTCAAGTAAAATATATATATCTTCTCATTTATTTAATATATGTAAAATGCTAAACGAAGAAGATTTATCAGGAATATTTATTATCTTTAAAAAATTATGCAGTGATGAAAACGATATTATTAAAATAATAAATATATATAATTGTGCACATATATCTTCACTATATTCTAAGACTGTATTTTTTTATTTTTTTGTACCTATATACAATAATTTTTTAAAAAATTGTAATTTATATATATTTTATTATTCTTTAATTAACCTATTTTCTTTTATATGCAATTTTGAGGATATTGATTTAATTCATCCTTTTTATATTCGTAAATTGATTTTTTTTTTTAATAGCGTCTTTTCTTCACATTTATTTACTCTGAATTATTTAAGTGAAACAGCTAAAAAGCAAAGTAATTATTTTTTTCTGAACAGTTCAGAAAGTCAAATTAATCATCTTGAATTCAAAATAAATGAAAATCAAGAAAATAAAATAGAATCAATTAATAATTTTGATGAGATAGAAGTAAGTAATTGTGAATTTAATCATCTTGATTCAAATGAAAAACGTGAAATTAATTCATTATATTATTTTATTAATTATGATATTTCACAAAAAAGTGATGATACAAGTTTAAAATTAGACAAAATCAAGGAATTAAATAACAATTACATAAAAGAAGAGTTATCCAGTAATCTTAAAAACATGAATGATAATGAAGATAATAATTCTCTGATTCCGGATAAAATGAAAGTAGAAGATATTTCAGTTAAAAATAAAACAGAGGAAAAAATTATTGATGCAAATTTTTCAGATGAAGAAAATGTAAAGGCAAATATATCAATAAATAAAAAAATAAGTGTTGAATCATATATACTAGATTATGGTAAAAAAAATAATGAAACTAATTTTGATGAAAACACAAATAATAAGAATAAAATGAAATCACAAGAAAATAACAAAAAAAGTTCAAAGGAATATAAAAAAAAAAACGAAATAAAAAATATAAAAGAAGACGAAAAAATGAAAAACAGTGATGAATATTCAACAAATATATTGTCTAATAACAGTGAATTTAAATTAAAAGAATATAATAAAACATATGAAATAAAATCTGATGCAGATATAAGAGAAAGTAATGATGAAAAAAAAAATGATGAATATTTAGAAGATGACGTAGAAAATTTTTTTTTATGTAATTTAATTAAAGGTAAAAGTGATATATATAAAAATAGAGATACAAAAACGAGTATATATTATGAAAAGTTTTATTCGAACTCACATGATAATTTTTCCATTAATGAAAAAAATAGTGATGAAGTATCGTCATCATCATTTTTTTTTAACAATAGTTTAATTAATGATTTAATAATTAATAATAACCATTTCTGTTTAAGCATAAAAAATTTTTTTGAAATATATGACAATAATAATTATACTTTTAAAAAAATAGATGAACAAGTTGATAATATTGAAGAAGGTAATAGCAAATTATATTTTTCTTTTTTAAATGAAAAAGAATTAAAAATTATAGATAATGCATTCAACCATAATATTGACACGGATATAAATTTAATTAAAGGTTGTTTTTATAATGAATTAGAATTAATTAAAAAAAATACTGTATATACAAAAATGCTTTTAAAAAAGGAAAATAAAAATAAAAGTAAGAATAGTGATAACATTGATAATGATGATAATGATATATACAATATTGGGGATATAGATATTGATTTATTAAAAAAAAAATATATTTTTGATAGTTCTAGTAATATTATTGAATCACATAATATAAATTCAGTATATATTACCACTCTTTATATACCAATTTTGATCTTAGTTTTTAAGAAATATTTTTTTCGATTTTTTTCACATGTTTTCTTTTTTATATGCACATATCCTTATTACTTTATAAGAAAAACTATAGCATCGCTCTTTTTTGATATTTTGCAAAATTTTTTAAATTCCGATTTTTTGATTATTAGCGATGAGCAATTAAATTATGAGCATGAAAATATTGATAAATTTCTGAAAAAAAGAAAAATACCTAATAGAAAAAAATTTTTGAGCACATTAACAAATTCATTAAAAGTAGAAAACAAAAGCTACAGAAAAATGAATAACAAAGGAAGTATTCAGAAAGAAACTACAGGAAAAATATTGCGTTTTAACAATAATTGTGCAAAATACGATAATGTAGATAATATAAAAAATACGAAATCAATTAATAAAAATGCAAATCCATTAAATATTGATAAGACAGATATGTATGACATAAAAGAATATAATGAAACAGAAAACAATAAAAAGCAGATTAAAAAAGACAAGTATGAGAATATAGAATATATCGAAGGAAAAAATATAAAGGAAGAAAAAAAAAATGATTCTGATAATAATTATAAAGAGGAAAAGGAAGATGAAAAGAAACATGAAGAGAAAAAACAAATAAAAAAAAAAAATGTAAATGAAACAAAAGAAGAAAATGAAGAAAAAGAAGAAAAGGAAGAAATGAAAGAAAAAGAAGAAAAGGAAGAAATGAAAGAAAAAGAAGAAAAAGAAGAAAATAAAGAAAAGGAAGAAATGAAAGAAAAAGAAGAAAAAGAAGAAAATAAAGAAAAGGAAGAAATGAAAGAAAAAAAAGGAAAAGGAAAAAAAGAAGAAAAAGAAGAAATGAAAGAAAAAGAAGAAAATAAAGAAAAGGAAGAAATAAAAGAAAAAGAAGGAAATGGAAAAAAAGAAGAAAAAGAAGAAAATAATGAAAAAGAAGAAATGAAAGAAAAAGAAGGAAATGGAAAAAAAGATAATGAAAAATATGATGTAGAAAAAGAAAAAAGTAAAGAGAAAATGGGAAAAATACAGCAAAAAAATGATGAAAAAAACGAGGATAAAGAAGAGAAAAACAATGAAGAAGGAAAAAAAGGAAAAATAGAAAGTATAGAAGAGAAAAATATAGAAAAAGAAAAAAAAAATGAAAATAAAGATGAAGATGAAGAAAAAGAAGATAATAAAGATAATGGGGATAATGAAAATATAGATAGAAAAATAAAAATTAAAGATAAAATAAAAGATAATAAATATACAAAGTTGAATAATTACAAAAATAAAATCAAAAAAATACAAAATCAAATAAATACAAATTTATATGAAAGTGACTTTTTTATAAACGAAGAAAATGAAAATTTTTTCTTTTATAAAAAATTCCTAAATATTTATGAAAATATCTATATAAAATTTATAGATAAGTTTAGGAGATATTACAATGAAGATTCACAATTATTTTTCTTTCATTTTTTTATTTATTACTTTTTAAAAGATAATAATGTATTAGTTAAAAAGGCTATTTTAAAAAATTATGATAAAATTCTTTTATTTTTTCCAAATAAAATACAAAAGATTCTTATTTCATATTTATTCAATGTATTAGAATTTAAAACAGTAAATTATTCATTAAGAAAAAAAATATCAAAAATTATTTTTAAGATAGTATTAAAAACTGATGATACTACTATAATAAGAAAGTACCTTTTCCCAATATTTGTGAAGTAATTTTTATTTCTTTATTTTTTTTAATATATGTAAATATATATATATATATATATATATGTATTTTTCTTTTTTTATAAGATTATGCAAGGACGATGTCGCCTTAATTCGCACATATACATCAAATTATTTTTACTTATTTCTAAAAAAAGGATGTCCAAATATATAGTAAAAAGACATTAAAAAAAATTGTTAAACTTTTTGTATAATAATATGTTATTGCATTTGTTTATATGTATAATTAATCATGTAGATATATGTGTAAATATTTAAATATATATACATATATTATGATAATTGAAAAAATTCATATTCATATATTTGTCCATTATTTTAATAGTAATTTTTTTAAGGGAAATGGAAAAATATTGCCCTTAGAAGAATATCAAAGTGGTTAATACATGAAAAAAAAAAAAAAAAGAAAAAGAAAGAGAAACGCAAAACACAACTATAAATTTTTTTTTTTTTTTTTTTAATTATGCAGACGTAATAATATCAAATGAAGATAATTTTAAACTAAAAAGCAATTATTTCATTGATGGAGATGAAATTTCTTTAATTAAAAAAATTATAATTACGTTTGCAAAGTAATAAAAAAAAAAAATTCTTTTCAAAAATCATTAAAACTAAAGAAAATAAAAATAAGTATACTTATTTGAAGATAATTACATTATTTGTTCATTTTATTTTATTTATAGAAGCAAACATTTTTACGATAGGCAAATTTTCATAAAAATGTGCGAAGGAATAATTAAGTAATGATATAAAAATTATTACATAACACATATATACACTCATTTATATAACTCATATGTTTTTGTATTAAATAAAGCATATATATATTACATATAAAAATAAAGAAAAAAAAAAATTACCATTTTTTTTTTTTTTTTATAGTGAATGCCCTATAAATTTATTTTTATTGTATTTTTTAAATCCATTTTTAAATCTATCTGAAGACAAAATTCAAGTTGTTAGAATTACATGGGAAAAATGTGTTTCTTCACAAATAAAAAAGAAAGGAGTATTCTCAAAAGTCACCAATGTAAACATTTATACATATATAAATATATACATATATATATATGCATTTATGTAGAATTATATCGTAAATTTTTTATTAATTATTTTATATTAGGTATTAGAAAAATTATATAAATTATATGAAAAATATGAAAAAATGGAAAAAAGCAAAATTGATGATTTAGTTGATTTTAATGATTCCCATAATTTTTCTGTTAGAGTATTTGATATTCATCATTTAGATAGTTAAATTTTTTTAATCTATACTTTATAAAGGATTAAGAATATTGAAATATTACTTAAAGTATGAACTGTACATACAATAAATATTTGAATTTTTTTTAACTTTTTATACAGTTTTTAATGAATATACGTTATTTTTAAGCACTTATATACTTTAATATTAATATATAAACAGCTTGTTTATATACAATCTTCATTTTTTATTTTTTTGTTTTATTAATGCATGTTCCTATTATTTTATTATTATTTCCTTAAGTTTTTTAAATAAAAATCCATAGTCAGCATAAATAATTGCACACAACCATTTTTAAATTCCTTTTTTTTTTTTTTTTTTTTTAACACAATAATATAAAATTATTTTGTTATTTCATTTGTGAATTTTTATATTTATGAATTATAATTTTAACGTATATTTGTTTTTATCACTGTTTTGTTTTATTTAAAACATCTAATATATTTCATTAGAAAAAACAATGTTTTGTCTTTAAATTTTGAAAACGCTCAACCATCAAAAAGAATTTATTAAAATAATATAACCAAAAGAAAAAAAAAAAAAAAAAAAAAAAAAAAAAAAAAAAANAAACAAATATAAAAAATAATAAATTTTAATGATAAAAAAAAAAAAAAAAAATATTATAAAAAAAAAAAAAAAAAAAAAAAAAAAAACAAATAATAATACAAAAATAAATATGAAAAATAATAAGAAAACTAAAAAAAAAAAAATTAATCTATAAAACAAACAAGATATAGTACATAATAAATTTTAATGATATAAAAAAACATAAATAATATTATAAAAAAAAAAAAAAAAAAAAAAAAAAAAAACAAATTAAAAATAAATTATTTTTTGTAACATATAAATGTGTCTTATATTAAAATATAATTTTAATGATATTTTTATATATTATTAGATGATAAAATAAACAAGTTTTTATTTAAATATACCAATACATACTAAATAAAGTTTCACTTGGGATATACTTTAATTAGAATAATATGATTTCTATTTTTAAAATGCCTAAAAATTTGATCTACAACTGAAATATTTTTTATACTATTTAATATTAAATTAGTTTTAATATAAATGTGTAAAGAATATTTCGTTTGTTTCAATTTTTCTGTTTCAACAAATTTTGTTATTTTATTAGTTTCATGTATTTTATTTTTCTCATTTTCTTCTTGTTTAAATTTTTTGTTTTGTTTTTCTGAGCTTTTGTTTATAATATTATCAGTGTTGTATATTAAAAGAATATCAACTGGAAAGCCATTCATTAGAAGATTTTTAATTTTTTTAATTTTTCTTTCCATATCATACATTTCACAATTATAATATATTTGAATTCTTTTTGTTTTTAGAGATGGATCAAAATTATAATAAATGGAACTTTTATAATTCGTTGAATTTAAAACTTCTTTTTTATTGAAAGAACAATATTTATCATTTTCAGTATTACTAGAGAATGTATCATTTTCCTTTATATTATTTATAATTTCATATTTTTTTATTTTTTTATTTTTTATTACTTTATTTATTTCATCTTTATCTATTTCACAATTGATTAATTCATCTTTTTTTATTTCACTATCTTCTTTGTTTTTACTTCTAATATCATCATTTGTTTTTTCCTCTACATTTTTTTTTGAATTCTCATTTAACGTATTTTTTTTTTTTTTTAAAAAAAAAAAACAATTTTTTAATATATTATTATACAAGTATCTTTGATAATCAGTATTTTCCGAATAATTTATATTCTTGATAAAACACTTATCTTGGAAAAAAAAATTATTTGTAAAATAAGAATAAAACAATCTGCAGATATCACATAATATTTTTAAATTGCAAGTTGGAAGCAGAATTAATTTTTTATTTAACAAAAATACGTTCATTTTTTGTTCATTTATGAAATTTTATTTCTTTTTTTCCAACAAGTTTTAGGAAAATTACTAAATAATGCATTTCTTTAAATTAAAAAAATAAAATAAAAAGAATTTCCTGCAAAAAGGAATTTATGTAGAAATTCAATGTAAAAACTAAATTTCATTTTAAAATTTGTTACCTTAATAAAAAATTAGTTGAATAATTTTATGTAAATAAGTATATTTAAAAAAAAAAAAAAAAAAGAAAGAAATTGTATGTGTATACTTATATTTTTATTTATACAATAAAAAAATATTTTGTTAAAAAGATAATTCATAAATTCATATTATATTAAAAAAATTTAAAAAAAAATAAAAAAAAAAGAAGATATTATAGATAGATAATTCTCTACTTAAAAATTAGATTGGATGAGTAAAGATAAAAATAGTTTATAAAGAATATTCATGAATAAATGAACATATTTTGTATGAATAAAGAATTTTATTAATCAGTTAAATAGTTTAAATAAATAGTTTTGTAAAAAATATTATGAATAATTAAGTGATTTAGTAGCAAAAGATTGCATAATTTTTTGAATATATAAATGAAAAATTAAATAATGAATTATTAGATATATGAGATTAAATTCAAAACAGAAGTAGAAATAAAGTGTTATACTAAATAAGTAAAAGGAAATGGGGATGTTATTTTCGTCCATATTTTCTCGATTGTTTTCAAATAAAGAGATAAGAATATTAATTTTAGGTTTAGATAATGCTGGTAAAACAACTATATTGAATAGATTACAATTAGGTGAAATAGTTCAAACAATACCAACAATAGGATTTAATGTAGAAACAGTAAATTATAAAAATTTAAAGTTACAAGTATGGGATTTGGGAGGACAATCATCTATTAGACCCTATTGGAGATGCTATTATAAGAATACAAATGCAATTATTTATGTTATTGATAGCTCAGATAATGAAAGATTAACTAATACTAAATATGAAATTAATATGATTTTAAAAGAACCAGATTTAGAAGGAGTTTTATTAGTTATTTTTGCAAATAAACAAGACTTACCAAATTGCCTCCAGATATCTCAAATTTCAAAGGATTTAAACTTAACCTCAATAAGAGATAGGCAATGGGCTATATTCAGTACTAGTGCTACTAAAAATGTTGGTATTACAGAGGCATTAGATTGGCTAGTTAATAATATAAAATAATTTTTTTTTTTTTTAATATATAACGGAAATATAATTTTTAGAAGAAAATTTTATATAGTTTTAAAATATATATATATATATATATATATATATATATATATATATATATATATATATATATATATATATATATATTAATAACTTATGAATATATATATAAATATATATTCAAATTTATTTTTTTTTTTATATAAAATCAAATTTAAATTTAAATTTAAATTTATGAACACAGTTTGAATATCATAAACATGTATATATATATTTTACATGTTTGATTCCGTTTTTCTGAATCAAATATGTATATTTTTTTTTTTTTTTTTTTTTATTTCTCTATATTCAATATTTATTTTTCCTTTTGTTAGAAGTTATTATATCTTTTGTTAACCCTTTATATTCATACATCAATTTTTTTTTTTTTTTTTTTTTTTTTTTTTTTTTTTTTTTTTTTTTTTTTTTTTTGTTAATTGTTTTAATATATTATGCAATAATTTTATAATTTTTTATTAATTTTCACTTTTCTATTTTTAAATATTGTTTTATTTATTTAGTTTAGAAAACATTAAAATCATATATGTGTAGATAATAGATTTTTTTTCTATTTTAAAATACTTTAATGTATATATATATATATATATATATCATATAACATTTGTTTCAATAATATTTTTTAAAAAATAACCCAACATAACCCATAAATATTATTTTCACTTTTTAATAAAATTACTTAACTATTTTTTTTACAGTTGTTTTTTTCTTTTTTTTATTTATTTATATATTATTATAACATTATACAAAATGGCAACAAAAAGATTAAAGCTTAATTATCTTTCACGAAATGCAAGATAGTAAAAATAAAATTTCTTAAGATAATCTTAAATTATATTATTAAAAATATTATTCCTAATCATCTCAAATTTATTATGTCTGTTTTTTTTATATTTTAATTTTTTTTTTTTTTTTTTTTTTTTAGTTTTAACACTTCATTAATTAAATCAAAAATAGACATATTAGAAAATTATGCCAAAAAAAATAAATTACATAAATTAAAGATGGATGACTTATTTGAAGTCTTTAAATTGTAAATATTATTACTTTAAAAATAAAATATAATAAAATTAAAATAATATAATTAATTTTAAAACTTTGTAGATCAAAAAATGAAGAAGACTATAAACTGTCTTTACATTTATTAAATATCTACTATAATTTTGGAAGAAATTTAAATACTCAACAAGATGTTAATTTATTTTTTATTTTTATTTTAAGAACTAAACAATTAAATGAAGCAAAAGATGTAACTATTCTATATATATAAAAAAAAAAAAAAAAAAATTATACAAATAATAAATACTTTTTTTTAAAGCATTTTATATAATTCCTATTCTTTATATTTATTTTCCATGAATTTATGATTTTTTTTTTTTTTTTTTTTTTCAAGTTTTTAAAATATTTTAATGGATGGTTATTATGTCCCCCTTCTAACAAATATATTATATTATGTATGGAAGAATTCTTTTCAAAAAAAAAATTTTATGATGTTAGAGAAATTTTTTCTTTTGTTAGACAAAATAGGTTATAATCATATAAAATATAATATAATATAAAAAGAAATATTTAGAAAATTTTTTCTTTTTTTTTTTTTTTTTATTAGTCAAATAAAATTAGAAAGTTCTTTTTACACAATAACAATAAAATCAATGCTTATGTTGAAAAATAATCCTATTGAAGAATCTATGATAGTTAAAATGAATATACATATATGATTATAAATTATACGATATTTTAATGAATTTGAAAATAATAATGAAAAATAATTATATATATGGTTAAATATTTCCATGTTTTTTTTTTATTTTTTTTTTTAGATTTACGATGATTCATACAATATGTCTATTTATTTAACAAACGAAGTTCACAATTTGTTATTAGGTTATATATTAATCAATAATTGATAAAAATATTATGATTTCGTGTAAATTTATATCAACTCTTTTTTTTTTTTTTTTCATTCAGAACATAATTTATTTTATTATCATAACACAAGAGAGAAAAAATTGGAAGTAATATATATTTATTATTATTTAAATAAAAACTTCTTTTATAATTATAAAAATACAAATACATTATTTTTTTGTCTTTAATTCAGAATTCAAGATCTTTGGAATTTTACGAGCAAAACATACGGAAAATTATTGTTATTAAATAAATATAAAAAATATATATAAATTTTTAATATTTAACATCTTACTATTATTTTTTTTGTCAGATACGACTAATAAATGAATTAATTAAAAACAGATCTTCAGTACAACTGTCATCCAAAAGTTTAAGTTTATTTGCTTGGGCAAATATTTATTTTGACTTAAAAGAAATTATTAAGTAAAAATGAATAAAAAGAAAGAAAATAAGATAATATAATAATTTTATTATTAACTATATGAATCATAATTATATAATTTTCATTAGGAAATCAAATAATACTTTCATTGATGTTGAAAAATGCAATAGTTGGTTTGATATTTTTAAATTGTCTTGTTTGTACAATCAAATGCCTCAATGGTATTTTAAATAATATTAAATTGTATTTTATATATATATATATATATATATATATATATATATATATATATATATATATATATGCTTATTTTTATGTGTTTATAGTTACAGTGGCCCATTTTCAGAGGCATTTAAAAATGCATTAGAAGATATGAAGAACGATAAAGATGCTATTAAAGTGAGATAAAATGAAAAAAAAAAAAAAAAATTTTTAAAAAAATTAAAATTTAATTCATTGTTAAATTTGTAGGCATTAGAATACGTTAATATTTACTTCAATGAAGATTAAAAAAAAAAATTATTTAAATATATAATAAAATAAACATCTTATAAAATAAAATTCTTTTATTAATTTATTTTTTTGTTTTTTTTTTTTTATTTTTATGAAATAACCATAAAAAAAGAAAAATATTCATAATTTAAATTGATTATTTTTTTTATTTCCTTTATTTTTTTTTCACCGATTAACATTGTAAACAATTTTTTGAAATATGTGAAGGTTACTAAAAATACATAAGAATATAATTTAAAAAATTTTTTTATAAGATAATAAATTTTATTCACTTAAAAAATTAATTTGAAATGTGTTATTAATCTATTTTTTTTTTTTTTTTGTTTTTTTATTTTTGCTATACATTATAAATGTTATATTCATTACAATAAAACAAATAAGTTAATCCAAAATTAAAAAACTTATACCAATTTAACTTTTTATCATAAAAAATATATACATATATTATTATACGTTTAGCTGTATTATTTACAATATATCTTTTGAAAATGTTAGATATTTTAAAGAAGTTATTTATTTGCTAAAATTTTATGTCATTTTATTTTATTTTTTTTTTTCTAATTAATTTTATATTTATTGACTATTAGTAAATTTATTATTATTATTATTATTTTATTATTTCATTTATATTTCTTATTAGAGAATTCACAAATTTTTTTAACTTTATTTTCAATGAGTTCATTAGCCATGAAACTATACCCCCATAAGTTTTTTTCTGAAACAGTGAAATGTATGTTAGCTGCTCATATATATAATTTTCGTGTAGAACTATGTGACGATTTTATTTATACTAGAACATTTGATATTGAAAAAAACTTATTAATAAATAAGAAACCTTTGTTATTATATGATAATCAATTTATAAGTTCAACAAAAGCAATATGCTTTTTCTTTCATCGTTTATATAATGAAAATAGAAGTTTAGATGAAAAAATTCATTCATATTTAACATGGATAGAATGGAGTGATTTATTAGAAAAATATGTAGAATTATTAAATAAAAAAAAAATCATTGAAAGCTTAGATGAATTAGAATCATATTTAAATGAAAATAAAAGTAGAAGTTTTATATGTAGCAATGATGGCAATAGTAAAATATCTCTAGCAGATATATTTGTTTATATATCATTAAAACACTCTAATATTAATATATGCAAAGAAAGTTGGGTGAATATAAGTAACTACATAGAAAAAATAAATAAATTAGAAGATATACAAAAAATTATAAGGAATGTTCAAGAGCTATACAAGTTTAAAAATATCTACAGTTTATTCGTTTCTAAGTTACATCACTTAGATGTAAATAAATATTTAAAAGAAGAAAAATTTTATATAACAACTGCTATTAATTATGTAAATGGAGACCCTCATATAGGCCACGCATATGAAGTAGTTTTAGCTGATGTTATAGCAAGATATCATAGAAATATAGGAAGGTGCACTTTTTTTACTAGTGGTTCTGATGAACATGGAATTAAAATAGCTAATCAAGCAAAAAAAAATAATATAACTCCTAAGGAATTATGTGACAGAAATGTTTTAAAATTTCAAAAACTAAACAATATTTTAAATATATCTTTAGACTATTATGTTAGAACAACAAGTAATACTCATAAAGACATAGTTAAAAATGTGTGGAGTATTTGTGAAAAAAATGGGGATATATACCTAGGTGAGTATGAAGGATGGTACAATATTAGGGAAGAAACATATGTACCTGAAAATGAAGCAAAATTAATGAATTATATGGATCCGTTAAATAATGTTAAATTAGAAAAAATGAAAGAGCCATCATATTTTTTTAAAATGTCTAAATATCAAGAAAAATTAATAAAACATATAAACAATAATCCACATTTCATTCAACCAGAGCAAAAAAGAAATGAAATATTGCAAAGATTAAAAGAACCATTAAATGATTTATCATGCAGTAGAACTAACTTTTCATGGGGAATTTCAGTACCTAACGATCCAAAACATGTTATGTATGTATGGATGGATGCTTTATTAAACTACTACTCAAATTGTTTCATTGATAAAGAAAAAGAAATGTTTTGGCCAGCTGATGTTCATATAATTGGTAAAGATATCACATGGTTTCACTCGGTAATTTTTCCATCTATTTTAATGTCTTCTAATTTAGAATTACCTAAAAGTATTTTTTCACATGGATTTGTTTTAGCGGCGGATGGAAAAAAAATGTCTAAATCGTTTGGAAATGTAATAGACCCCTTTGAAATTATTGAAACATATGGATCTGATGCTTTTCGTTTTCATGTTATTAAAGAATCAAAACAAGGTTGTGATATGAGATTTGATGTTGATAATTTAATTGATATGTGCAATTCTGATTTAGCAGATACAATAGGAAATTTGGTTCAAAGGACTTTATCTTTATGCCAATCATCTAATAACTCTAAAATTCCTCCTTTTTTTCCAGAATATAATATTGATTTACCATTTAACCTTTTATATTTTATCAATAGAGTAGAGTATCATATGAAGAATTTCTGTGTGCAAAAATGCTGCGAAAAAACTGTTAATGTTTGCAAAGACTTAAACAAATACCTCACTGATTTAGCTCCATGGAAATACAAACAAGAAGAGAATAATAAAAAATTGCATATTATTAGAATTATGTTAGAATCTATTTATTTTATTGCACATTATTTAGATATATTTGTGCCATCAATTGCCTCTCAAATATTCAAAAAATTAAATTCCCCCAAAAAAAAAATTGTTGACTTGTCTCCATGGTTAAACAATTTAAAAGAAGGAGTTATCATAAATAATGATAATATTTTATTTAAAAAATTTGAAGTGGTATCAGCTAAGATAAAAATGCAAAAAGTTATTATGAGAGTTTGCAAAATAACTAATATCATAAAAATAGAAGAATTAAATAATGTAACAATATGTGATTTAGAAATTGATCAAGAAAAATATATTGCTGCCTTATATCTACCTTACAATAAGAATTTCATAAATACATTAACAATTGCATTACTTAATATTAAACCTATAGCAATAAATAATTATATGGTCAACGCTATTATTCCACATGTAAATAAAGAGATTTTTACATTTTCATTAAACGAAAATATTCCTACTGGTACATTAATACAAGCTAAAAATTATCAAACTCTTGTTAAACAAAGAGACAATTTAACAAAAAAAGAAATAAATACTTTAAATCTTTCTATCATTAAAAATAATTGTTTTTTTGAAAAGAATATTCCATTAGTATTTGCATTCTCAGATGACAAATATTTGCATCATTCTACCCAAAATAATGGAGTTGTAAAATTTTTTTAATTTTTTAAAAATATAAATCCTTAATTAATTAAGTGATTAAATAACTTTTTAAATAAATGAATTCACTTTTAAGTGAATAATTTTTAACTATTTATATTTCTTGTAAATTTTCTTAGGAATACTAAAAAAAAAAAAAAAAAGCAAAAAAGTTTATTAAATAGAAAAATACTAGAAAAAAAAAAAAAGAACAAGCCAATTTTATAAATAAAAATCTAGCATTATAAAAAAAAAAAAAAAATAAAGTAAAATAAAATGATAATTGTCATTTTTTACTAATATAATAAAAATATTATATTACCTTAATAATTAACAATTTTTTTAATATTTAAACTAAATTGTATTGATATATGCCATATCTCTAAAAACTAAGAAATTTAAAAAAATATATGAAAATATTATTTGAAGTATGTAAACATGAGTAAAACAAATATATAGTTTAAAAAATTCCAAAATAGTTTAACAGCTACATATGATTATTTTAAATATTTAGAATTTCTTTAAGTGCTACTGTTATATAAGAAGACTTTGGTAAAGAGCATGTAAAAAAAATAGATGATTTTATTTGATAATCTGGTATTTCTTTAATTAAATGCTCATGATATAATTTATTGGAGATAAAAAATATATTTTCTTCAATTTCTTTTTGTTCCTTTTCTTCTTTTACTATACTTAAAGTATTATTTTCATCAATAGCATGTTCATTACTTTTTTTAATATAATTATTATTTATATTTTTATTATATTTTTCATTGACATAATCTTCCTCTTCTTTTTGTAATCTTAGTGTATTTTCTTTTTTTTTTTCATTAAATAACTTATATAAATCACTTTTAATGAATGGGATTTGTTCTAAATTGTCAACACTATTTGGTATGTAAACTAATTTGACATTATATGGTTTAACAACAATTTTTCTAAAGCAACCAGCAGCATTAAAAAAATTTTTTTCTGATTTGAAATCATTTAATGACAAATTAAAATGTTGTAAAACTTCGTTATACTCATCAATTAAATTAAGAGGGAATGTTATATTTTGATCTCCAGGTAAAGGCAAAACGACATCATAAATATCATACAATGAAATATTATCTTTTGTTATCACAGTAACTTTTTTACATGTATCCTTATTTTTCGAATAATTGTCTAAATTTGAATCATTACCACTTAAGTTTTCTGATTCTCCTTTTTCTTCAACTAAATCACCTATTGTAATTCGAAATCCATATTTTTTCATTCTAATATTAGTCAAAATGTTAAAAATTAAGCTTTGTGTTGCATGTATAAATAAAGAGAAAATATCTTTAGGTATATTCATGAATGCATTTTTTAAATTAGTACTATTTTTCAGAGAATTTAAAATCATTTTTTCTACATATGACTTATTTGAAATAGAATTAATTATGCGTTTTACTTCTTCAGGGATACTATTCTCATGCTTAAACATTTTATTTTTACAGTTTTTATTTTTATTATTATTAAAATTTTTTTTTTCATTTTCGTCAAACATTTCTATGTTTTTAGAATAGCGTTTTATATTTTCGTAAACCACTTCATTTTTCTCATTATCATAATCTTTTTCATTATGGTTCACTTCTTCTTCTTTTTTTATTTTATTATCTTCACTAATTGTATTTAAATATGTGATCAAAATTATTTTGCTTTCATTATCTAGTTCTGAGTTTTCAATTATAAAAAAAAGGGCTTGTTTATAATTTTTCTTTAAAATACATATTCCAATATCATAATTTTTTATTTTTTTACTACCAAATCTCTGAGAACCATAATAATTAATAAATCCATATTTTTTTAAGTTATTAAAAAGAATTGTACATTTATCTTGTATATCATTATCAACACCTCTAATTAAAACTTTAAAAAAATTTCCTTTTAAATCTCCTAGAGATAATTTTTCTTTTTTATATTCCAAATTTGATACGTAAACATTATTACACCACTTGGTTTTATTAATTATTAATTTATATATATCTTCTTTTTTTATTTTAGAAATACAAAACTTCTGTACTGTTATACCTCTTTTGTCTTTAATTCCACAATAAGATATATCAGAGTTTTTTTTTTTTAAACTTATTTTAATTTTATTTAATATTTCGCAAATATCCTTATTTTCTTTATATAAGTTAAAATGCAAATATTTCCTTTCATTTTTTAATTCTTTCTTTTTTTGTTTAATTTCATTTAAATCTTCTAAGTACCTATTATCTTCTGTAGTTTTTATGTTGATCAATTCACTAGAAATATCCTCACTAAATAAACATGTATTTTTTTCTTGAAAATTTCTTTTTTTATCATTAATATGATCATTTAACTTATCATCTAGACTATTCATTTCATTATTAACTTCATCCTTTATAAAAATTTCACTATCATTTGTATTAAAATTTTTATTTTTATCATAAAGACTAGATTCCTTCTGCTGATATACTTCGTTTTGATTTAATTTCATTATACTTATTTTATTTGAAGAGTCATAATTTTTTAAATTTAGTAATTTTTCATCATTCGAATTATTAGTTATCAATTTTCTTTTTTTTTTCAAAACAGTATTACTCTCAATTTTATTTGTTTTTTTATCTATTTCATTTTCTTTTTCATTATTATTTCCATAATTTAGAAATTCAGAATTTTGTTTAGATGTTTTTGAATAATTCTTACATTTCTTTGTATCGCTAAATTTATTATTGATAATATTTTCCAGTTCATCATTTCTATAAAAACGAAATTTTTTAGAATTTTTTTCTAATTTTTTAAATATACTATCTGGTAAAATCATTTTAAGGCATTTTAAAGAAGGATAAATTTCAATAACGTTTGTTATATTATCAAAATTATTATTATCTAAATCAAAATTTAAATTATAATTATTTTTTATAAAACTGTCATTTAATATATTTCCATGTGATATAAAGGTTTCAATTTTCGAAACATTTTTAGTTTCTGTTATTAAAAATGGATAAAATTGTCTTATAACTCTATGAATGTTTTTTCTTAATTTTTTTTTTTGTATTAATTCATCGCAAAATTCATTTTCATCATAATTTCCATCTTTTATAATACTATCTACATTAGTTAAACAACAATAAGGAATAGTAATATCCTTTGAATTAAAGGATATATCAGTTATCTCATTTTTATTTTTTAATTGATACATTTCATATAAAATATGCAAAAATTGCCTGAAAATATTTTTATTGAATTCATTTACATACTTTGAAATTAAATGAAGGTTTAAATCAGTATTGCTAATATTTTGTAATATATTCCTTTCTTCATTTTTTTCATTTTCCTCTATAATTTCATTAATTCTATTTTTATCTATAAGATCATTTAAGTAAAGGATTTCATTATTTTTAGTTATTTCATGTACATGGAAATCTTCATATAGTGTTTTTATTTTTCCATTTATTCCTTCAATTTGATTTATATTTTTTCTAATTAAATAGTCAATACCGTAGTTATTAATAGAATACATTATATTACAAATAAAAAAATATAATTTTTCTTTTAAATCTATATCCTAAATATTAAAGAAAAGAAAACTTAAGAAATATAAAAGTTAAATTTTTAAATTTACAAATACTTCAGAAAATTGTAATTTTAAGAAAAAAAAGAAAGCTTCATAATAAAGTAACACTTAAAAAAAAAAAAAAAAAGTTTTCTTTTGATAATGTTTAAAGTTTTACAAAACATTTAAAAAGTATATAAATATTTCTTTTTCTTTTATATGTATTTAAGTAAAAATAATTTTTTGAAATCATTGCATATGATATTTGGAATGACATTCATAATTTTTTATATATAAAAAAGAGAATATTTTCTATAACTTATGTTAAATATAAAAAATTAGAACAAATATTATTTATTCAATTATTGTTTATTAAAAATTTATACACTTTTATTATGGAAAAAAAAATTTATTTAAATAAATGTCGATAAACATTACAACATTTTTGTTTTTTTCATTCTATCATTATTATTTTTTTTTTATAATTAATGATATGAAAATATATAGTATTTTTTTTTTTTTTTTATAAAATTTTTTTTGAATCTTTTAATGATGTTAATTTATGCTATTAATCATATTATTTCTCTAAATTCTTAAATATATAACTATCTTTAGTTGGAATCTCATCATAAGCATTTTTGTTTTAGTATACATATATAAAAAAAAAATTTCTAAGGAAATTATAGGAAAAATAGAACTGTTACTTTGTAAAAATAAAAATATGTTATAAATAATACACTTTAAGTTATTTCTATAATACTAATAAAATGTTTTTTGAAAATAAAATTTATCTAGAATTCGTAGAAATAATAAAAAAAACTTAACATATTAAAAATTCTTATTTTACATATATATATACAAGAAAAAGTAAAATTATTGTATGAATATTTTAAATTAAGAAGAAATAACTAAATAATATTTTCTTTTTATAAATTTACTTATATAATATTTTTAATTTTAACGAAATAATATTTTTTTTTTTTTAAGGTATTTTTTATATTAATATTCTTGGGAAAGATAAAAAAATAAGAAAAGAATTTTTACTTAATTTTTAAAAAAAAAAATTTTTTTTTTTTCTTTTTAAAAAAAAAAAGAAGGTATTAATTCATTTATAAATTTCATTTTTTAGATATATTTAAAAATTAAAAAAAAAGTCTTAATAATATATTAACTAATATTTACAAAATAATAATTTATATATCATGTATGTATATGTAATTTTTTAATTTTCAGGATGTATTAAATTTCCTTGTATTTTTTTATTATAAAGTTTTTATATAAAATAAAAAGATAGAACTACTGAATTTATAATTTTTTTATAAAATGATTAAATAAAAAAAAAAAAAAAAAAAAAAATATACACACTATACAATAAAATTATGTATAAAAAATTAACTTCAATGTAAAAAATGATTACTACATAGCTAGACTAATTCTAGTTTTATGTGTAAAAAATTATTCATGCAATAACTGTAATAGTATACATACATATATAAATATAAATATATATATATATATATATTATAAATGAGGAAAAATAAAAAAGTGCATTTTTTATTAAAAGGAAAAGTTTAAAAGAATGATTTATGTAAATTAAATTAAAAAATAAAAAAGAGCTTTATATATAATGAAAGATTCCATAAAATTCAATTTTTTTTATGATCGTGAAATAATTTTTTTTTTTTTTTTTTTTTTTTTTTCCTTCTTTAAATAACGAAAAATTATAATTTATTTATATTAGTATATTAATATTCACTTATAAAAAATATAAAATGTTTTATAAAAATTCGTAAAGATTGTAAAAAATTACTGGTAATTTTACACACCATTTTAATTTTTTCTACGTAAAACTTTTAATTTGTATACAATAAAAATAATCCAGTAATTTCTTTTCTTTTTTTTTTCTTTGTGGCTTATTGAATGAAAAGTTAGTAATGTTGTTAAGAAGGAAAAATACAAAAGGTAGCTTTTTAAAGAATAAAAGAAATTCCTTATTTTACGAATAATTTTATGAATATTTCACACCCTAGATATTTTAAAAATACACAAGATTTTAAATATATAAATTTAACTTTCATAGAATTTTATATTAAGAAAAAGAAAAAAAAAAATCTTTTTTTCTTATACAACGGCTTTTTTCTTTGAAATAATTAGCTCTTATATTTATACACATTTTTGTTTTTCAAACTGATTAATTTTTTTTTATTATAAAATAAAAATGAACAAAAATATATACCTGAAAACTGTCTCTTTGTTTTAGAATAAATCGATAAAATATATATTTTAACTTATGGGTGTTGAGATATATAAAATAGGAATTTTTTGAAGAATTAAAAAAAAGAGAAAACTATGAAGTGATGCTATGATATTTGAATATTGTCATAAAAATCACATTAATCTCTTCTCTTTTTTTTAGGACATTAATAGAATAAAAAAAATCAAATTTTTAGAATTTTAAACAAAAATGTTTTTATAGAAAACGAAGAGCATGCTTCTTTTTGTTTTAAAAAGAGCATTTTAATGTAACTTCCTATAAATAAAATTAATTAAATAACTATATGATATTTAATTATTTTTAATATATTAAAAGATAATTTATATAGTTAGCAATATTAATTATTTACATTCAATATAACAACTTCCTATTACTTTTTTTTTTGTTCTGTATAATTTAATTTTAATATTTATATATGTTATCAAAAGTGTTTATATTTTCATAAATTTTTTTTTTATGTACACAAAATTTCATAATAGAATTTCACTTCATATTTTTCCCAATATTCCTTAAAAATTAATTTATTATTTTATAAGAACAATTCTAAAATCCATTTTTTTATTGTTTATATATAGTTAAAACTTCTTTAATTTTTTAATAACAGAAAAATAGTTAAAAATGAAGAAGATATTGAATATTACATTTTATTTATTATCTTTAAGTTTATATATTTTTCAAAGCAGTGAACATTCAATAAATAAATTTGAAATTAATGAAGCAACATATTCACAAAAGACTAATTTAAGAAATGGAAATACAGGTAATACTGTTTTTTTAAAACAGCAACCTCCTGGTTTAGTAGAAGATACATCTCTGCAAAGTTCACATGAACCTAGTAGAATTGAAGAAGGAGAAGAAGAACTCAAGACTCAAGGTAGTGATCCTTTAGTTCAAGATCCAGTTGGGAGCATAGGAGAGCAAGATGATACCTCTAGGAAAGTTGATCCCTCTGAAACTTCAGGAAAAAATGTAAAAGGAGAATTAAATTCCTTAACAGATAAAGATGCAAGTGGTGTAGATAATAGAGAGAGTGAATCAAGAGAAGTGTTAGAAGTAAGAGAACATCAAGATGAAAAAAAAGAACCTTCAGAAGAATTTAAAACTCCTTCCGATGTTGAAAGTCAACTTAGAGATACAGAATTAGAAGGAAATCATAAAGGAACTGGAATTGAAGATTCGCCACAAATATTAGTTCAAGATCCAGTTGGGAGCATAGGAGAGCAAGGTGATACCTCTAGGACAGGTCATACCTCTGAAACTTCAGGAAAAAATGTAAAAGGAGAATTAAATTCCTTAACAGATAAAGATGCAAGTGGTTCAGATAATAGAGAGAGTGAATCAAGAGAAGTGTTAGAAGTAAGAGAACATCAAGCTGAAAAAAAAGAACCTTCAGCAGAATCTAAAACTCCTTCCGATGTTGAAAGTCAACTTGGAGATACAGAATTAGATGGAAATCATAAAGGAACTCGAATTGAAGATTCACCACAAATATTAGTTCAAGAAAAAGTAAAAATTCCAGAACAACCACAATCTACAGGACCAACTGAAGCAGAAAGTCATGCTCAAAAAGAAGCTGGAGTTCAAACAGTCTTAGAAGAAAAAGGCGAACTCTCTGAAGATTTACAACCATCAAGTGATGAAAGTGAACCAGGAAGAAAAGAAAAAACAGCTGTAACTCCGGAGACATCAGGTCTTGATAAAGGTGGGGAATCAGTACATACTAGCTCACATGCAGAAATACCAAATGCTGATGTTGGAGATCAAAAGGGAGATAGTATTATTCAGACTACTGTCTTAGATTCAGGAACTACAACAATAGCTACATCTACTTCAGGTGCGGATGGCAATATGGGAGAATTAACAGAAGACACAGAAAGGCAAAAAAATCTACTTACTGGAACAAATGATAATAGAGAACAATTGCCTAATTCACCAGATGTTAAAAAAGAAGATAAGCAATCTTCTGAAACACGAACAGAAAAAAGATTAAGTGATGAAGTACAAGTAGATAACTTAAGTATTGATGATTCAATGAAACGTACTAATGATAGTGAATCCCAAACAACGGATCTTGCAATAACGAAAGGAGATAAAGAAACATCAGGTCAACATACATTAGATCAGGATAAAATGGAAGATCAACAACTAGTACCAATAGCGCAAACATTACCAGAATCACCAGCACCATCAGAACCACCAGTATCACCAGTATCAACAGTATCACCAGTATCTCCAGCATCACCATCATCACCAGTATCACCAACATCACCAGCATCACCAATATCACCAGTATCACCAGAATCATCAGCATCACTAAAAGAATCAGAAGAATCATCAGAATCAGGATCACCACAGGTACCATCACGAGTATTATCACCAACGTCAGAACCGCAACAACAATCACTGCCACAATCACAGCAGTTGCAATCAGATGAACTTCATCCCCCAAGAGAAAGAGAATCTAGTGAAACTAGCATTGGCGTTAAGGGAAAAGAAGGGGAAATAGAAGAAAATGGAGATCCTAAATCAAAAGAATTAGTAACAGAAGAGGAAGGAAAAAAGGATTCCCATATGGGCGAAGCTGGTACAGATGATACAAGAACATCACTAGATGCACAACCATTAAAACCTAATTCTCAAACAGATCAAGGAGGTTCGGAAGGTAAATCACCACCAGAAAGTGATGTAGGAAAAGTTACTCATTCAGATACGCATGTTGAAGAATTGAGAGATGCAATTGTAAATATAGGAGAAGATCCAAAGGAAGATCCATTAGCATCAAAAAGTGCAGCAGGAACAAGTTCATCTGGATCACTTGATACATCAAAATCTATAATTTCAACAGAGACAACAACACAAGGTTCAGGAACATTAGATGGCACAAAAAATGAACCAAATTCAGAAACACAACAACAATCACTGCCACAATCGCAACAGTTGCAATCAGATGAACTTCATCCCCAAAGAGAAAAAGAATCTAGTGAAACTAGTATTGGTGTTAAGGGAAAAGAAGGGGAAATATCAGAAAATGGAGATCCTAAATCAAAAGAATTAGTAACAGGAGAGGAAGGAAAAAAGGATTCCCATATGGGTGAAGCTGGTACAGATGATACAAGAACATCACCAGATGCACAGCCATTAAAACCTAATTCTCAAACAGATCAAGGAGGTTCGGCAGGTAAATCACCACCAGAAAGTGATGTAGGAAAAGTTACTCATTCAGATACACATGTTGAAGAATTGAGAGATGCAATTGTAAATATAGGAGAAGATCCAAAGGAAGATCCATTAGCATCAAAAAGTGCAGCAGGAACAAGTTCATCTGGATCACTTGATACATCAAAATCTATAATTTCAACAGAGACAACAACACAAGGTTCAGGAACATTAGATGGCTCAAAAAATCATCCAAATTCAGAAACACAACAAAATCTAGAAACGAAACAAGTACAACAAACAGTATTAGGAGATCCATCTAAATCAGGAGAAGGAATAGGACCTTCTACTGTAAGAACGAAAGCTACGGAAGAAAATGAACATTCATCAAGTACATTACCTGCAAAGACAATTAAAAAATCTGAGAGAGATGGGGAAGAGACAAGAGATCAAAATAGAGAAGAAGAAGAAGAAAAAAAGCGTCAACAACAGGAAAATAGAGAACGATCAGAATTAACAGGAATAAATGACGGAGATCATGTTACACAAGAAGCAATCCTTCCAAGAGAAGAAGAAATTTTAAAAAAGACAGATCCTGAAAGAAAACATGAAACAGGGGATACAAGTTCGCAACCAACAACATTACCACTTGAGACAAAAGTGACAAAAGTACTTGAAGGAGAATCAGATGATGAAAGAGAAAAACAAAAAAGTGACGTGCAAGCAACCAACCTTGTAAAAGAACAATCCGAGGAACTAGAACATTCAAATCAGGCAGAACACTCTCAAGGAACACAAAACGAACATATGCAAAAAGATAAAACGGGAGAATTAGAAACAAAACATGTAGAAGAAGTACAGCAAAAAGATCTACCTCAAGCAATAGAACCTTCTTATGGAGGAAAAAAAGCTATAGAAGAAAATGAACATTCATCAAGCACATTACCTGCAAAGACAATGAAAGAATCTGAGAGAGATGGGGAAGAGACAAGAGATCAAAATAGAGAAGAAGAAGAAAAAAAACGTCAACAACAGGAAAATAGAGAACGATCAGAATTAACAGGAATAAATGATGGAGATCATGTTACACAAGAAACAATCCTTCCAAGAGAAGAAGAAATTTTAAAAAAGACAGATCCTGAAAGAAAACATGAAACAGGGGATACAAATGCACAACCAATAACATTACCACTTGAGACAAAAGTGACAAAAGTACTTGAAGGAGAATCAGATGATGAAAGAGAAAAACAAAAAAGTGACGTGCAGGCAACCAACCTTGTAAAAGAACAATCCGAGGAACTAGAACATTCAAATCAGGCAGAACACTCTCAAGGAACACAAAACGAACATATGCAAAAAGATAAAACGGGAGAATTAGAAACAACACATGTAGAAGTACAACAAAAAAATCTACCTCATGCAACAGATAATCAAACGTTACATCCTCAAACAGCAGATTCTCAAGCAGAAGATCTTAAAGAAAAAGCTACTAAAACGGAAGATGAACGAAGAGCAGAGACTAAAGAAAGTAGTCCACAACTTGTAGAAGCAAATACAGTACTGCAGGAACCAGAATCAAAAGCTGAAACAGGTGCGTTATCAGAAGAAAACCATTTAAGTAAAGATGGTAGTTCAAGAGAAGCTGAAGAAGGAAAAGATACAGGAACAAAAGAAAATTCTCCAAATCAAGTATTAAATCCAGAACACCAACAATCTCAAAGAAATGGAGAAGATTCAAAAGAAAATTCTGCAATAATAAAATCTGAAAATTTAAGTCAAGAAGATCCACCAACACCATCACCAACACCACCACCACCACAAGAAAAAGCACCTCAAGAAGAATCAGTAGAAAAAGATCCAAAAACACATCCAGAGGGAACAAAAAAAAATGTATTAGAACCAGTAGATGTTACCAATGGTGAACTTGAAGATTTAACTGATGAAGAAGAGGAAGAAGAAGAAGAAACAGAAGAAAGTTCTACAATATTAAAACCTAAAAATTTAAGTCAAGAAGATCCACCAACACCATCAGCACAACCACAAGAAAAAGTACCTCAAGAAGAATCAGTAGAAAAAGATCCAAAAACACATCCAGAGGGAACAAAAAAAAATGTATTAGAACCAGTAGATGTAACCAATGGTGAACTTGATGATTTAACTGATGAAGAAGAGGAAGAAGAAGAAGAAATAGAAGAAAATTCTATAATAATAAAACAACCTGAAGATTTAAGTAAAAAAGATCCACCAACACCATCAGCACAACCGCAAGAAGCAGTACCATCAAAGGAATCAGTAGAAAGAGAACCAAAAACACAACCAGAGGTAACAAAAAAAAATGTATTAGAACCATTGGAAGTAACTGATGATCAACTTGAAGATTTAAGTAAAGAAGAAGAAGAAGAGGAAGAAGAAACAGAAGAAACAGAAGAAATTGCTTCAACAATAAAGCAACTTGAAGATTTAAATCAAAAAGATCAACGACAAACACCGAAAGATCCACCAACACCACCAGAAGTACTACCAGGACCAAAAGGAGAACCAGAAGACACAATACCACCAAAAACACAACCAGAGGTAACAAAAAAAAATGTATTAGAACCATTGGAAGTAACTGATGATCAACTTGAAGATTTAACTAAAGAAGAAGAAGAAGAGGAAGAAGAAAAAGAAGAAGAAGAAACAGAAGAAGAAGAAGAAGAAATTGCTTCAATAATAAAGCAACTTGAAGATTTAAATCAAAAAGATCAACGACAAACACCGAAAGATCCACCAAGACCACCAGAAGTATTACCAGGACCAAAAGAAGAACCAAAAGGAGAACCAAAAGACACAATACCACCAAAAATACAACCAGAGGTAGCAAAAAAAGATGTATTAGAGCCAGTAGAAGTAACTAACGGTGAATTTGAAGATATAAGTGAAGAAGAAGAAGAAGAAGAGGAAGAGGATGAAGAAAATGAAGTAGATGAAGAAGATGAGGATGACGAAGAACAAATAAATGAAGAAGAGGAATTAGATGACAATACAGATTACGAAGAATTAGAAGATGCAGATGCAGATGAAGATGTAGATGTAGATGAAGATGAAGATGAAGATGAAGATGAGGATGAAGAAAATGATAGTAGAAGTGAAGATGAAAAAAGTCCGAGTGATGATAGAGAAACAAGAGATAGCCGAATGGAAAATGGAGATTTACTGGAAGATGAGAAACAACCATCAGAAGATATCTTAGCAGAACAAGAAATTACAGAGTCTGCAATTGAGAAACAAAAAAAACAAGAAGAGTTTTCAAGAAAAACAGAACAAGATCAGTCACAGGAACATTCTGAACAACAAAAACAAAAGGAAATTAAGCCTCCATCAAATGATAGTAGTGCTCATAAATCATTAATTAAAGACTTTAAAGATGATAATAAGGTTAAAAAAGAAGCAGAAACTAAAGTAAAAAATATGATAAATTTAATTGATGATAGTGGAGTTGCTGATACATTGAAAGATTTGGCCAAAGATATGGCTCAAATTTTTCTTAATCTTTAAAAAAAAAAATACGTATTATCTTTATTGATGATAATCATAAATATACTTTTTTCATATTCCTCCTTATAGTGTAAATTAAATATTCAATTAATTAACAATGTATTACTTCATATTAGCCTTAAATAATTAGGATAGTCAAAAAAATAAAAATATAAAAATAAATGGTTACCCATTTTGTTTTATATATAATTATACTGCTATAAATAAATTATAAAAAATAGTGGATATAATCAAAACAAAAATTCAAATATATATAGAGGATGAAAAAAATTCATTAAAAAATAAAAATATAAGTCATATACAAAAAAAAAAAAAAATATAAAGATTCTAGGATAATCAAATAACATTATTTCAAATTAACTGTAAACTTTTATACTTCTTTTTATTGTAGATTAGAAAATTCTAATTGTATTTATCAAAATTTTTAAAATGAAAATAAATTTTTTATTATTAAAATAATGAATAAAAAAAATAGTTTGTAAAAAATTCTCTAAAGCAATTATTGAAACAATGATAGCAAAATACATAAAATTATCTAATGAATGAAAGTTTGATAAGATGTTTATAAAATGGAACAATATTATTATTTTATAATTAAAAAAAATTACACAATATTTTAATTTAGGGAATTACATGGTTATTTATATGAAGTATTAGACCAAATATTTCTAAGATAAGACAAAATGTAAATTTTTTTCTTTTTTTAACCTTTAAAGAATTTAAAATTTTTGATTTTTTTTTTTTTTGTTTTTATAATAGAATTAAAATGTTACAGTTAACAAAGGAATTAAATGTTAGTTTTCTATATATCCATGAAATATATATGTTACAAAAGAAATTTTTTAGATATGAAAAAAGTTAAAAGGAAATACCTTAAATGTTATTCAAATTTATTACCTTTTTTTTTTTTTTTTTTAAATTATCAATTTTTATTTAACGAAATTAATTTCTTTTTAATTTTATTTTTTTATGTTATTTCATAAGAATTCTAGTGAAGTACAATAATATATTTTTAAGGGAAATAAATATTACAATAATTTTTTATGTGCACACATTCATATATTTCTTAATATACAAGCAATTTGAATACATTATTTCATTTTTCTTATAATTTTATATTATCTTAAAAAAAAAGAAAAAAATCTTTTTTTTAAGAAAACGTTTTGTCACTATTGCTTTATGTTTAGATTATCTAAAATTTCCTAAGGAAAATTACTTTTCTTAATTTTGAAATTAAAATGTTTAAAAATATATATTTGAAAAATCTTGATTAGTAATAGACTATGTTAGTAAGGTAAGTGTTTCTTTTTAGTATGAACAAAATATACAAAATATATATTTATTTTTCTTTTTCATTTTTTTCATAATAAGGAATTGCAAAAAAAAAAAAAAAAGAAACGTTGAACTATGAATTGC